GAGGGGTTATGACGTCATTGGCAGGCGACACAATGACACTATGGACACGCTCCGTGTCTCTAGTTAAAATTGCTTATTTCTCTGGATTTAAACATTCTTCGAAACATTTGGGATAATGTAAGTACACAAGTCAGCAAAATATATAACACTGTTCTAGTGGTTTTCGGATATTTAAATAAAAAAATCTTACATATTGTGCCTTTAAGTATTCCAAAGTATTTAGATTATATTACTAAAATTAAGTTAGAAAATACTTTTTAAAGCATGTATTTTGTAATCTGTAACAAAATACATTTTAAAATTAATCTTCCCAAATCCCAACCCTGTGTGTATACACACACACACACACACACACACACAAAACAATTATACAATTTAATATAAAAAATAAAAATATATATTAATTTTGACCTTTGTTGTGTTTTTGTTATTTTTAGTAAATTTAAAAAAAAGTTTAGCCTATATATTTTTTATGAATTTTATTTCATGTTTTAAGTTATATGTTCCATTTTAATTTTCCTTCAAGTTTTTAATTTCGTTGCATGTTTTTGTCATTTTTAGTTTTTTCTTTTTTAATAATATATAGTGTATATAGTGTTTATTAACTGTACAGTTTTAGTTATTTTAGTACATCATGTTAAACTATATTCAAATGAGAAATGTTGAACTAGCTGAAATGAAAAGTATATTTTATTTTATTTCCATTAATATTCAAGTTACGAAAATGTTTTGTTTTTAATTGTTAATATTAACCAAATAAGTATATTACAATAACCCTATCAGGATGGATGGATGGATGTATAGATGGATAGATAGATATGGATAGATGGATAGCTATAGAGGATGGATAGATATAGAGGATGGATGGATAGATAGGTAGATGGATGGATGGATGGATAGAAAGATGGATAGATATAGAGGATGGATGGATGAATAGATAGATTCCGCTCTCTCTCGGTCTCACCGTCTTCATCGGTCTGGACGTGGATCTCGGGGCTCTCTTTGACTCCCTCACGGTTGCGCAGCAGCATCCTGACGCTGAGGTTGGTGAAGGGCGAGAGGTTGTGGATGGTGTGCTGGCTGCCGTGTGCCGCCTCCTCCCTGCTCTCCTCCTTGCCTCCTCCTCTGGCGCGGTACTGCACCGTCAGGCTGTAGTTGTGGCAGCGTGTCACGTTGTAGCCCAGCGGCTCCCAGCGAAGCGTCACCTGACGAGCCTTGATGTCCACCACCTTCAGCTGCTGCGGTTCATGCATGGGCTCTGAGAGAGAGAGACAACAACACGCAGTGTTGGGGGAAGTTACTTTTAAAAGTAATGCATTACAATATTGCGTTACTACCTAAAAATAACGAATTATGTAACTTAGTTACTTTTTATGGAAAGTAATGCGTTTTGTTACTTTTCGAAAATATGAATAGTTCACTTTTATTTAACAAAACATTGTGCCTTTGTTAAAGAGAGAGAGAAAAACAAATAGGATGCGCTTTCAGCCGTCTATAGGTTTCCTTGAACTTTGAGGCGCAATCACAAAAATTAAACGGAGCTCAGAAACTGTAGCGCAGTTTTTTTGTTTTTGTTTTTGTTAATGTATTAATTATTTAAGTGAAACATTTTGTGTAGGCCTATTTATTTTCTTCCTTTTATATATGTAGTTTTATTCTGTTTTTCTCCCTTCACTGAAGCGCGGCTTCTGTTGTTGTTTGTGCTGCTATTTGCGCATGCACTGAACCCCTGAAAAGAGGGAGGAAATTATCTCTGGTATTTTTAATGGTCACTAAATCTAATTTAACATTCTAGTTTTTTCGGTTAATGGTTAATCATCGGTTAACGAGCGTCAGTTATCGGTCAAGAAAATTACCAAAATGAACAACCCTAACATTTTGGGGGGGTCCCCCACCACGCGGGACCCCCCCGCAGTGCGTGCCCTGCGTGCCCGTCCGCTACGCCACTGGCTGTCACTCAATACATGGAAACAAAGTAACTAGCGTTAATTATTTGAAAAAGTAACTCCGATATTTCCTTCTAAATTAAAAAGCAATGCGTTACTTTACTAGTTACTTGAACAAAGTAATCTGATTATGTAACTTGTGTTACTTGTAATGTGTTACCCACAACACTGACAACACCATAATGATGCAATGAAAAACACCAAGCATTCACGCAAGCAGAATGCCAAAAACACATGATAGTTTGTAAGAAACATTCTCAATACAGCAGCCCACACCGACACACAACACAAAACCTTCCCAACAACATCTGAAACCACATCAGATCTGCCCTAAACACGTCATGTATATTCATGTTATATTTACATAAACCAAAACTAAACATTGTCATCATTTACTCAACCTCGTGTCATTCCAAACTGATACATTATTTGATTTATTACATTATTTGACTGTGAAACACAAGAAGATGCAACAATACAGCAGTTCACAGCAACCACAATTGTGAAGATCCAAAAAAGGACAAAATTTCATTTATATTGCATTTATATTACTGAATTTATATCTCACAATTTTAGAATTTTTCTTACAATTAATTAATTAGTTGGGCTAACCAAGACTTGTCATAGCACTTGCATTTTATTGCTCTTCTGTTGATTTTGATTGCTTCTATTGTCCTCATTTTGGATAAAAGCATCTGCTAAATGATTAAATGTAAATGTAATTCTGATTTTAAATCTCACAATTTTAGAATTTTTCTTGCAATTCTGAATTTATATCTCTATCTAGAGTTTTTATCTCATTTGATCTAATTTACTACATGGTGGAAACAAAAAGCAGAATTGCAAAATGTAAAAACTGTAGAAAAAAAGCAGAATTGTGAGATATAAACATGGAATTATGAGAGAAAAGATAAATAAATCAGAATTCTTTATATTTACATAAACCAAAACTAAGCATTGTCATCATTTACTCAACCTCGTGTCATTCCAAACTGATACATTATTGAGTTATTACATTATTTGACTGTGAAACACAAGAAGATGCAACAATACAGCAGTTCACAGCAACCACAATTGTGAAGATCCAAAAAAGGACAAAATTTCATTTATATTGCATTTATATTACTGAATTTATATCTCACAATTTTAGAATTTTTCTTACAATTAATTAATTAGTTGGGCTAACCAAGACTTGTCATAGCACTTGCATTTTATTGCTCTTCTGTTGATTTTGATTGCTTCTATTGTCCTCATTTTGGATAAAAGCATCTGCTAAATGACTAAATGTAAATGTAATTCTGATTTTAAATCTCACAATTTTAGAATTTTTCTTGCAATTCTGAATTTATATCTCTATCTAGAGTTTTTATCTCATTTGATCTAATTTACTACATGGTGGAAACAAAAAGCAGAATTGCAAAATGTAAAAACTGTAGAAAAAAAGCAGAATTGTGAGATATAAACATGGAATTATGAGAGAAAAGATAAATAAATCAGAATTCTGTGTTGATATCTCATCACAGTTACCTTTTATATTGTTTCATTCTATGGTGCAAACGGCCTTCCATATTCACTCATATGCTTTGTGCTTTATATTCCAAATCCATCTGACATCAAATAATGATTGTTAGAAGAGCACATGTAGTTAAGCATCTTTATTGTGTCACTGTTGTAAGAGCCGTGTGAAGATTCAATGTGTTCATGCACAAAGTCAGTCACAGAGGTTTGGAGTGACATGAGGGGAGTAAATGAAGACTGAGTGAACCGTCCCTTTAAACAGACGCACACAAGCTGGTTTCTGATTGTGCGGCTCGTGGACTTGAATCAGAGCCCTGATCCCGTTTCTGCGGGTCTGGAAACACGAGAGAGACTCCTATAAGCCACTCCAGGATCAAAGCAGCAATCAGAGCAGATGAAAGACTGCATCTAATACAGCAGAACCAAGACGAGCATCAGACATCTGATCAACATCTGCTCAATGCATACCAAACACACAGAATAAAACAACTGCTTCTGTTCCTCTTTTGTAAGTCGCATTGGATGAAAGAGCCTGCTGAATGCATACAGTAAATGTACAGTACATGTAGAATCTGCTAAATAACTAACAAAATAAAAAGCATCTTAAAAATTGATTGGTTTTGTTAGTCCAGAATACTGTATTTTCCAAAATACAAGTCACGTTTTTTATCAACTGAAACATGATATAGGCCTATATTTTATACTAATATTTTTCAAACTGTGTTGATGATCCAAACATGAAGAAGCAAGAGAACGGAAGCTTGTGGAAACAGGATGATGGAGGTAAACTGTCATTTTATCTTCTGGAAAACATGCATATCTTCAGTCGCTTCTGAAGGGCAGCAGTGAACGAAATCAGAAGATTTTTCTCCGTCTGTCTCTGTCTCTCTCTGGATGGAGTTCAAGGCCTCAACACACACTAATAGGATCAATTTCCATTCTCGCTTAAATCTGAAGTCCATTTCTCTGGAACTTAACATTTTCCCACCTATTAGATCCAGACAGTAACATCTCTCAGGTTTGTCATAGTGTTGATATATAAGTAACCGCTTCATGCATCATATGTATTATATTAGTATGTAATAATAGTATCTAATAGTAGTATGGCTGCATGATATTGGTAAAAACTGACATTGTGATAGTTTGATTTTCTGCAACATTTCACCAGAAATTTCACCAGATGATTTGAATAGCTATATATTTGGGGGGAAAATTACCATTTAATGAGTTATTTTGGTTTGTTCATCTGCCAATAAATAAATAAAAACAGCTGAAAAGGCCATTATTGCAATGTTTTTAAAGTGTGAAATCCTTTTAGGCCTGCAAGATTTGGGAAAACTTTTGTTGTTCATTTTTGAGTTTATAAGAATCAGTAAATTTGGTCAATTTGCTTAAACCATCTTTACCAGAATCACTATGCTGGTCAACCAGCACTAAATCATCTTTCTGAAGAATCTGCTTTCACAAAGCGTTCAATGAGTCTGAAAATGTTTTACTGCTCCTCACATCTGAAGACAAATATGTGAAGTGACCGTCAAAGACCAACATTATTTGAGCAAAGCAAACACACAGTCTAGACAGACGAGACGCACCGATATCAACAACACAGTCACTAATAAGCTGTTTGTCTCAAGGCCAGAGGACTTTAACAGACTTTAACAGACGCCAGGCTATAAAACACATTCAGACTCTTAATTCAACCCTTTTACATGCAGCGGGAAGCTCTTCTCTGAAAATTTAAATTAAAATTAAAAATAAAAATACAATTAAAAATAAAAATAAAAATAAAAATAAAAATAAAAATAAAAATAAAATTAAAATTAAAATTAAAATTAAAATTAGTTGTTTTGATGACCCAGGACGAACAGGTCATTCTGATTATAAAATTGTTTATAAAAAACACTTTACTTCAAGCCTTTACGTACAGTATAATGCATTAAGTTCAAGTTATGCATAATTCTTAAATGTATGTTATAATGCATTATATCTTTAAATAATTGTAACCAAAATTTAAATGCATTATAATATTTGCAGATTCCTAAATCAGTTAAATCTGGTTGCTTGTCATGTGTTTTAATGCATTGCACATTCTGAAGATGTAATAATAAATAGATAAGTCTTATAATACATTATACCAACAATTATTTATGGGATAACTGAATGCATTATAAGGTGCATTAATAAATGCATTAAAATACTTTTATAATGCATTAAATATAAAGGCTTCAAGTGTTACCAGATTAATAAATGCAGCTATCCATCAAACATCGTCTTCATTAATTCACCTGAATATTGCTGCTGTTTCATAACATGATTTTAGCACAGTGCATGCCCAGCCTCGGGTGGCTCGTCGCCGTATTGTTCAATGACAGACACTCTGAATGTTTCAGAAGAATGAAAGGTCGTCTCAGATGTTTGCATGTTCCTCTGTGAAGCTCGTCCTTGACTGTCCAGACCTGACAGCCGAACGCTCGCTAAATGATTAAATGCTAATGGAAGGAAGTCAGATAAAAACAGAACACACGCACGCATTACAGGTATGAATGCATGCTCACGTACGCTGTAGAGAACGAGTGATGGGTAAAAAGACGGAGTGAACTCTATGGGTGAATTCTCTAAGGTCGATATAAGACCAATACAGCCACATTTATCCTTTTCACAATTTTCTAAGTTCAGCAAATGATATAAAAAAATATGACATTGATTTTTGTGCTTTACAAAAGGAAAAAGGCAGGAACAGCGTGTGAATCAAGCTCAGCTTTAAAAGCTATTGATTTTTTGGAGAATTGGCTGT